AGTTCATCATCACCAAACCAGCACTAGAGGAAATGTTGAAGGGTCTTCTTTAACAAGAAGCTAATGAACAAAAGAATCTGATGACCTAATTAGATCCAGAGACATTGACACATGTAACGGACAATCATATTTCAGAAGAAAGAGGGAAGGGGGGTGGAGGGTGGGAAGAGATTAACCAAAGAAGTTATATGCATATATGCAAAATCCATGGACACAATGATGGGGTGAAGGCCTGGGGAGGGGGTGGGAGCAAGATGGAAGGGGTCAGTTGAGGGTGGGGGAGAAAAGGTTGGGCCTGGCCTGCCAGTGGCTCAGTGGTTGGGCATCGACCTATGAACCAGGAGGTCAAGGTCTGATTTCCCTTCAGGGCACATGCCTGGATTTCCGTCTCGATCCCCAGCAGGGGGCGTGCAGGAGGCAGCCGATCAATGATTATCTCATCATTGATATTTCTGTCCCTCTTTCCCTCTCCCTTCTTCTCTCTGAAATCAACAAAAAAACCCATACTTTTTTTTAAAAAGGAAAAGCTGGAAGGAAATACTCCAAATATTATTTGTGTTTTTTCCTGAATAGTGAGATTCTTTATTTACTTTGGCATTTTCCAGATTGTATACATACAATTGGCATGTGTTAATTCTACAAATTAATTAAATATAGAACATTTAAGACTCTATTATAATATCACAACTAAAAAATAAATAAAAGATGAGGTTCTAGACTAGGTCGGCAGCAGGGCAGAGAGGATAATCCTGAGTCTGAGTCCTTGATATGTGATGGCCCTAGAGGGTTGCCAAGGGGACAAAAAGGACTTCCAGGGCAGCTCTAAGCTTTCTAGCCTGAGAAATTGCACGGACCAATGATGATGTCATAAACCACAATAGGAAATGTAAAAAGAAAGAAGAGGAATGGGTTGGGAGGAAAGACAATCAACCCAGTTTGTCCTCACTGGATTTGCAGTGCCAAGTTTCCCCAGGTAGAGATGCCCAGTCAAGAGCCGGCTCTGTGCAGGGCTAAAGCTTGGGGGAGAGATTTCAGTGAAGGTGTGGGTGTGGGCGACAGCAGTGAGTCCTCGCAGCCCTGGATTGGCTAAGGATGACCCAGTATTCTATGTGTTAGGAAAAGGGAACAATCGGACTGTCGTGGCAGCTCAGATTCGCAGGCTCTAGAGCTCCACTCCTTCCACCCAAAATGTGAGCTGAAATGGCCCCTGCCTCCCTCAGTCATGGGATTTCTGCTAGACTACAGTGAAGGGCTCACAGAGATTCCCTGTGGCTTCAATGTTGCTGGGTTCTGCGGCCACTGCTTCCAGCGAGGACTGCAGACCCCTCAGAGTCAACCACATAAAACGTGCTACGATGTTCAAGGCAGTGGTCACTGCCTCACCCAGTGACCCCTTTTTACAATAGTCTGTAAGGAAACTATCTTGAGCTTCAGGGCCAGGAAAGTGTGAGCAACAAGACACCATGGCCCGGCCGGGCGTGGCTCAGCGGTTGAGCGTCGACCTGGGATCCAGGCAATCAGGGTTCGATTCCCGGTCAGGGCACATGCCCGGATTGCGGGCTAGGCAGCCGATCAGTGACTCTCTCATCATTGATGTTTCTATCTCTCTCTCTCCCTCTCCTTTTCTCTCTCTGAAATCAATAAAAATATATTTAAAAAAAAAAAAAAGACACCATGAATCCTATAACTGCTCCTGCTTCCCTTGTTGATTTGGCCAATAGGGAGCTCAGAACAAAATCTGTGGTCCATCTCCAGCAGCCTTATAGGATCACACACTATGCATGTTAGAGTGCCAATCTATTAACATTTCTGTCTTTGTTGTTTTACTGCCTTTATTTTCTCTTCATCCCTTTGTTCTACCATGAATTTTTGTGAACTACTTAAAGTAAAATATTTTCTTTCATGTCCCGCCATTGATTCCTGTTCTCCTAGCTAAATCCAGAGTAAATACATGTAAGATAGGATTGCTCCTGTGAGCGCAACGAGGATACATTTTCACAGAAAGGATTTCATAGGTCAAGAATGCAAGATGCTGGATGCTCCAGTCTGTACTTATTTTAACCACACGGCCCTGCCTAGCTGCTAATTACATGCCAGGCACTGTTCTGAGCTCTCCACAGGTATCATCTTGTTTAATCCTTGTAACAACTTCATGAGATAGGTCCTATTTCTATTCCCATTTATCTTCATATAGTCCTCTTAACAGTCCAGTCAGCTATCCTGAAATGAAGGAAGATGTAGTTATTTGGCTACTGAAAAAAAGAAAACTCATTACGTTTAGCACCAAAGCATAAATGGATGGCAAGTCAGATGTTAGCCTTTGACCTGAGGCCTGGATCCCACAGATAACACATCGCTCACCAAGCATTTACTGAGCACCTACCAGCACTGCCCTCTGTGAGTTCACAGCCCAGCGGAGGAAACGCCAACGCACCTCAACGAATAACTTACCAGGCCACGTGACAAGGACAGTGGGATCAGGGAGGGGGCGGCAGGAGAAAGTGTCTCTGGCAGACGAGAAGGTTTCCTGGACGGGGTGATGTCTGAGATCCAAGTTAATGGAAGACCCGAGTTCACTGGGAACAGCAGAGACGGAGGAGGAAGGGAAATTGCGGAGGTGCGGGGTGTGAAGTGGCGTTTGGGGGAACTACGGGCAGTCTAGTGTAGCAGGAGAACATAGAGAGGGGAGGGTTGGGAGAATGGGGGACTGTTACTTAGGTGGTGGCTTTGGCTGCAAATACCAAGTCCTCATTCACCCTTCAAGGCCAGGATCAGCATCGCTTTCACTGAGAATGCTACACCCCCATCAAGCAAAACTCATCACTCCCTTGGGATCCCCCCCAATCCTACCTGGTCCACACCAGGCTACGTGATATAATGGGTCTGCAAGTGACAACAGGTCAAGCTACATGAGAGAATGCATAGTGTCATCTAACTAAGATGCTCTATTCACTATCTCCCTAGCATAAGGATGCAGGGAATTGGAGTCAGAGAGACGTCAGTTTAAATCCTGATTTTACCACTTATTGGCAGTGTGATTTGGGGTGAAATCTTTGTCCTCCCTGAGCCACTGCCCCTATTGCCTCTCCCATATTTCTACTGTCCTCAAGTTACTCTAGTTGCTGACTGGCTGGTCCTATAGTCACAGGAATGGCAGGATGGAGGATGGCCCTCTCCACCTTTGTGTTGGGTCCTCCTAGGTCACCCTCCATCACCTCCCAGGAACCCTGTTGGCTGATGTTCTTCAAAGCCTTTGGGTTGTCCCAGAGCTGGCAGAGGTGGAACAAGTGCCAAGTTAAGCACCGTCTTTAATCTTCTGTTTCAGAGCCATTTGCAAGAAGACCTCGAGCCGCTAGAAAAAATGCAACGTTGCAGGAGACACAGACCAGATTCCTGCTCTTTAAAGGGGAAAACGATAAAGGCTGTCAGATTCTGCTCCACCACCCAGACACGCTACAGCAGTGCGGCTTCAACTCCTCTCTGCCGCTGGTGATGATAATCCACGGGTGGTCGGTAGGATATGCTGACGCGTCTTTTTTCTCTCTGCTTTTACATTTTCTTTTTTTCTCTCCTTCGTGTGTTCAATTTTAATAAAAAGATAAGGAGCTAGTGATAATAGCTTCATGCATAATATTTGCAAAGCACATTCTAATTTTCCAAGTGCTTCCCCACACGTTATCTCATTGATGATCTCAATTCCATGAGTAAACAGGGAGGGGAAAGTATAATTATCTCTATGTTTCAGATAATAAAATGTGACTCAGAGAGGTCACACAGCACCTGAGGGCCCATAAGGACTGCAGTCCATGCAGGTGAAGCTGCATTGTCTCACACAAGGAGGTAGGGAGCCAAAGACATAGTCTCTCAGTGAAATGTTATATCTGTCAGAGTTATGTTCAGCTGCAAATAACAGAACTTTGTTTCTATTTCACATACCAGTCCAGAGATATGTAATCCAAAACTGGATAAATGGTTTTGGTCAACGAAGTCCTCAAGGACCCAGCTCATTTCCTTAGATGTGGCCCTTGTTCTCATAGTCCAAGATGGCAGCTAGAGCACCAGCCATCACATCTTTATTCCAGATAGTAAAAGGTATATACAAAGGTCAAAGAGCAGAGTTTTTTAAAAACAACTTTATTGAGATATAATTCACATTCCATGCAATTCATCCATTTAAAGTGTGCGATTCACCCAGCCAGCATGGCTCAGTGGTTGAGCATCAACCTATGATCCAGGAGATCACAGTTTGACTCCTGGTCTGGGCATATGCCCAGGTTGCGGGCTCGATCCCCAGCAGGGGTCATGCAGGAGGCAGCCAATCAGTGACTCTCATCATTGATGTTTCTATCTCTCTCTTTCTCCTTCTCCCTTCCTCTCTCTGAAAGAAAAATATATTTCAAAAAATAAAAATAAATTGCCCAGCTGGGCATGGCTCAGCAGTTGAGCGTTGACCTCGGATCCAGGCGACTGGGGTTCGATTCCCGGTGAGGGTACATGCCCGGGTTGCGGGCTCGATCAATGACTCTCTCATCATTAATGTTTCTGTCTCTCTCTCTCCCTCTCCTTTCCTCTCTCTGAAATCAATAAAGATAATTTTTTTAAAAATAAAAATAAATAAATAAAAATAAATAAAATTAAAAAATAAAGTGTAAGATTCAATGGCTTTGGTATAAAAGAGTCTTTTTTAGGTCAGCCTCCCAGGAGCATCTGTGAAATGCTTCCAATGACATCCATTGGCCATACTTAGAAGGAAAGGTGGCTGAGACCTCAGTAGCCTCTTAGAGAAAAGTATAGCCTTTTCGTGATGCTAAAAATTCTATTACAATGGAAGAAAGGGAGAGAGAATATTGTGGGTAATAACCAGAGTAAAACTAAGTGAGGCCTTAACTCCAAGAGGAAATTCAGACATCCTGCTTACCAGCCCACCCACGATTTGAGGCTAAGTTCACAATATGAAACTTCCAGGTCTTGGGGGTCTATTTCTTGAATTGGAAACCTTTCCTTGCCATCTAGTTGGAAATACTCCTGAAACCCTCATCTATTCTACGCTAGAGAACAAAATGGGCCCATCTCCCTACACCACTCTTTCAACATGCTTTCTCTCTGAGAGCTTGCTGCGTGCAGACTAACAACAACCTCACACGAACAAAAGAGACTCCGTGCCTGGCCTCGTGGGGTAGTAGGAAGCCACATGATGCCATGTGGGTGTAGCCACAAGGTGGGTGGCTTCTATTGCCATCCCAGAATAGCACGGAGGCCCCTGCAGCCTGCCAGCAGCCTCCCCCAGGATTTAAAGGGGTGCCACCCTAGAGAAATAGTGGTTGGAAGTGAAGGAGGTGGGAGGCTTTTCTGCCTCTAGAGAAGAAATCTAACATAGACTGAGCCCAACCAACTGAGCTACCCGGCCTGGGCTGGGGAAACATTTATTAAATGAATGGATCTTACCCTGGAAGACATGCTAAGCCATCAGCTTTGCTCTTCACCTCTGTGGTCTAGTCTTCAACCGGGCCTTCCTTGTCTCCTCTCCCCAGTCACACCGCACGGTCCCTTTGTGACTCTGCACCTCTGCCCTGCTCTTCCTTCTGCCTGGAATGCCCTGGGTACCCAACCCCCACCCCAAATGCCACCATATTCACCTGCCCACCCTTGTTCTTCTAAGAGAAGTCCTATTTATCCCTTAGCACACAACATAAATGTCTTTGCCCTGTGAACCTATCAAAAGTGCCTTGCAAGTTGGCTCTGGGCCAGGGATTCTGCTAAACCTCCTACAATGCACAGGACAACCCCCAACAAAAAAGCATCTGGCCCCAATTGTCAATAGTGCTGAGGCTGGGAAACCCTTTGTTAAGCCCTTTCTCATAGAGAGAAGGATCCAGCATTAGCCAAGCATTGGGGAAGAAAGAGGCGATTAGGCAGAAAAAGGAAATTAGTGTGATTGCTCCCTCCGTCGTCTCCCCCGCCCAGTGACTCTCTACCTTATGGGCCCAACTGCAGGTGGACGGCTTGCTGGAAAACTGGATCTGGCAGATGGTGGCCGCGCTGAAGTCTCAGCTGGCCCAGCCAGTGAACGTGGCGCTGGCGGACTGGATCACCCTGGCCCAAAACCACTATGCCATTGCCGTCCGCCACACCCGCCTCGTGGGCCAGGAGGTCGCAGCTGTTGTCCGGTGGCTGGAGGTAAGACCTGCCCCAACCTCCCTTCCTCTCCCTCTAAGACCAAGTGAGCTAAGCTGGTCTCCAACAGCGACCCAGACAGGACACAGGAATGGGAAGCTCACAGGAATGGGAAGGCCCAGGACTGAGACCAGGTGCTAGGGCTCTCTCCACTGCCTCACTTGCACCCCTATTGGGTAGAACCATCTTCTCCCCCACCCCATCCACGATTCCTTTTACGTTCAGGGATCTAAACACACCCTGTAAACCAGCAAACCCCACACAAATGAACGGGACAGCTTCTGCAGGGCATTCATATCCAGATGAGGACAGGCGGGG